GCACAAATTTGATTAATAAATATCAAAAATATAAAATCTTTGAAATGAAAAATATGGTAAATATTTCTTACAATGAGATGAGTAAATTTTCTAACTGGACAAAAATCGCACGACGACCTCCAAAATCCAAGCTATTCTTTCTCTCTTAATTTCCTAAACTATATATGTTTTAGCTGAAATCAAGAAGAGAATATGTATTTAAAAAAAATTATTAAGTGATTGTAAATATTTATAATAAAATATTAATATAACAATTTAATTTAATTAATTTTTCAATATAAAATTCATATAAATCATATTGTGTTTTAAAAATTATAAAAAATTATTCATAAAATAAATCATTTTATTTAAAAAATATCAATAAAATTAGTTTGCAAATCGGACACCTGATAGTCTCAAAATCCCCACTTGGACTTATATGTATCAATTTCTTAAAGATTTTTGACAGTGCTAAAAAATTTCAAAAAAATTTGTGTAAGTAAAATACTACAATCAAAATACTATAGAAAAGTCGCGAAGACGGTTTACGATTTGAAGTTATATTGACTCAAAGAAAAAAAATTATTTGCGTGGGTCGAAATACGGGTTATTACAGATTAAGTTAACTATAAATTTTTTTAGAAAATGAAATTCTATCTCATTATATTTTAAAAAAAATGCATATGATTTAAAAAATTAATTAAAGACGATAAATCTTTAATGAAAGAGCTAAATGAAAAATGGCACGTATAATTTTTTTTCAAATAAGTAACAACATAAGCCCAATTCATAAGTTTAAAAATGGGTAGACTAAGTGCTTAAGTTGATTAGGATTTTTCTTTTGGGTTAAAATGAATCTTTATGACCTAAGTGAGTAATACTAAGGTTTGGGCAGCTAATTGGTTATTTCAATGCATTTATGCTAGCTAAGGCTTGCACTAGATGGATCATATTGAGTAGGTGTTGATTAGGGCATCTCGGGTGGAGAGATTATTGGGTTCGGATACCTGACACAACTTACGTTCGGTATTCACAATATTGAGTAGTACTGAGCTCGGTACTGAGTATCGAGCAGTACTGAGCATGGTACTGAGCAGTACCAAGATCAGTACTTCTTGGTACTGCTCAGTACCGAGATCAATACCAAATAGGAGGTGATGTGACGCATTTTCATTGAGCTCTGAACACGTTCGGTGTCCGAACCCAATAATTTGCCTCTCAAGGGTGACCCTATGAGTCGGCCTACGACCCTTAAGGTCTAGTAGACAATATATGATATGTGTTAGCACATGAGTTTACACTAGGATGTTCAAAATAGATGTTACCATAACTATAAATACTATGACCTCTTCCTTAGTTTAAATCTATGATAATCTTTTCAAGTTTTATGTCTTTAAATTATAACTCTGTCATAAACTAGGTGGAGCTTTCAAATGTGCAACCTTCACTGAATGAAGGCCAAAAAAGTGCTATAGTAATTAGTAGTACTTGAACTCCAATCCTCAATTTGTAAGGAAAAAAAGATTTATATTATTCTCAAAACTTTTATGATTCAAAATATGCATGTTTTTAGGTGGATAATTATTTAAAAAAAGTTTAATGCTACAATAAATTGTTCATCATGTATATTATGATAAGCAACAAATAGTCATAAGAAATGACATTACATTATACTTTGAATAGTAAATATTTAGGGTTTTACCTCATTAATAAAAAAATATTATAAAGTGTCTTTTATATGCTTAAAAATATCATAATTAATTATAATTCAAACAATAGTAATTGCATTAATTTTAAGTAGTCGGTGGGCAACGGAGGTAGGAGGGGTCATAGCGGAGGGCAATGGAGGTTGGAGTAGGCCATAGTCGGTGGGCGACGAAGGTCGGAGTATACGACATTCGATGGGCGACGATTGTTGGAGGGACCAAAGTCGACGAGCAAGGAAGATCAAAGGGACCAAAGTTGATCGGCGTCAGAGGTCAAAGGATCATAGTCGATGATGATGGTCTGAATGACCATAGTTAGCAAGTGATGGAGGTCGGATGTACCATAGTTGGCAAGTGATGGAGGTTAGAGTGGAACGTAGTAGGCGGGCACCGGTAGTTGGAGGGACCAAAGTCGATAGGCGATGGAAGTTAGAAGGGCTTTTGTCGGTGGGTGATAAAGGATAGAGTGGACGGTAGTCGGCAAGCGACGGTAGTAGGAGTGGCCATAATTGGTGGGCGATGGAGGTCGGAAGGACTGTAGTCAATGGGTGACAATGGTTAGAGGGATCCTAGTCGACGGGTGATGGTGGTCGAAAAGACCGTAGTTGGCGAGCGATAGTGTTCAGAATGACCGTAGTCGGTGGACGATGGTGTGTGTATGGACCGTAGTCGACAAGGGACGGTGGTCGAAGGGAACTCCAACTATGGCAGCGTTAGATGGAGAGTGTAAAAGAGCTCTCAAACTTTCGCTCCTCCTGTCTCCCAATTGTGAAGAATGATGGGTCTATTTATAGTTTTTTGGGACTAACATGATTAGTAAATAGAGAGAAGATCAAGGGAAAGTTGTGAGTGTTTCAATTGATAGCTGATACCAACTCCCTCTATTATAGATTGTTTATCGAGTATTTAAGTGCTTAATTGATGCCAAAACTTGATGATCTTGGGCTCGTTGGATTTATCTCGTCGAGTCGCTCGATTCGACTATAAGCACGCCGTATTTGGATATCATTTGGTTATCCGATTAATGCTCTAAAACTTCTAAATATACTTTGATCATTCGATTTGGACCCATTTTGGGTTAGATTGGATCAAATTTGGTGTCATTGGACTCATCGCATTAAGATATTCAATTTGACTATAAGCCTGCTAAAATTGGAGTTCTGATGACCTTAATTTTAATTCTGAAAGTTTTTTATTCACATTCGTATCGAGATTCACAACTGATCATGATAATTTTTTGTTGACATATCAAAGATATATGGTTTAATGAACAAATTAGGATGATTTTCATGAAGACCACATACTTTTTATATATTTATAAATCTATTTATTAAGATTAATATTTAGTTAAATTATATTTAAAATTTTAAATCATTCAAAAAACATTTCTAATATATATAATTGATGTGACAAAAATATTAAAATATTATAATATTAGATGTATAAATATGGATTATATGTAAATCCTTTTTTTTTAAATATAAAATAATCTAAATGTTCTTATTTATCTACCCAATTTACTAATTTCTTACAAACAATCTAGTACCCACAAAAGGTTGGTAAATTGAGGGATAGGGGTGTCAATATTGGACACGATCCGAAAACCCGACTCGAATTCGACACGAAAATTTTGGGTTTGGGTTAACTCAAACCTGAAATTAGTCGGGTTTGTGTCCTAATTTTTGACTTGTTTGGAATTCTGGGTCGGGTTTGGGTTGACTTGGAAACCCGATTTTGACCTGACATCTAGCAAGGAACCCGAACCCAAACAAAGAAGTGCACGAAAGGGAGAAAGTTTCCTTCACAGCGAGCGAACTCCCCTCGTTGCTTTTGATCAAAATGTTGTAACTTTCGATCCGAATGGAAGGGAACGTCGTCCAAGGAGCAAAGTCGAACAACACACAAAAGGGAAAAAGTTTTCTTCACAGTGAGTGAACTCTCGTCGTTGCTTTTGATTCGAATGGAAGGGAACGTCGCCCAAGTAGCGAAGTAGAACAACACACGAAAGGGGGAAAGTTTTCTTTATAGCGAGCGAACTCCCGTCGTTGCTTCCGATCAAAATGTTGTAACTTCCGATCTGAATGGAAGGGAACGCTGTCCACGTAGCGAAGTCGAATGTCGCAGAAAAGGAGGAAAATTTTCTTCATAGCGAGCGAACTCTTGCCGTTGCTTCCGATCGAAATGTTGTAACTTTTGATCAGAATGGAAGGGAACGTCATTTAAGGAGCGAAGTCTAACAGTGCACGGAAAGGAGAAAGTTCGTCCAAGGAGCGAAGTCGAACAGCGCACGAAAGGGAGAAAGTTCGTCCAAGGAGCGAAGTCGAACAGCGCATGAAAGGGAGAAAGTTTTCTTCACAATGAGCGAACTCCCGTTGTTGCTTCCGATCAAAATGTTGTAACTTCCGATTCCGAATGGAAGGGAACGTTGTCGAAGAGTGAACTATGCGGGTCAGATTCGGGTTGACCCGAATCTAAAGAGGGTCGGGTTCGGATTCGAAAAACCAACCCGTTTATAAAGAAATGGGTTAGATTTGGATTGACCTGAACATTGCTGGATCAGTTTCAGATTAGACCAGAATATGACTAGTGACTAGGGGTGTCAATTTCGGGTCACGGGTCGGGTTCGGGTTAAACCCGAAATTGACTTGACACTGTTCGGGTTCGGGTCGGGTCGAGCGGGTCGATTTTCTTGACCCACTTGTTTCAGCCGCGGAAGCGGACAGCCAGCGAAGCCAGCAGGTTTCAGCCGTGGCAGCACCCAGTTAGGGCACGAGTTGACGACGAGGTTTCATCCGCAACAGCAGGTTTCGGTCGCGCGCGGCAAGCCAGTAGCGGTCTCGGCCTCGCACGGTCGCACGGTCGCACGGTTCGAGGACAGCGGCCAACTGCCGGGCGAACGACGGATCCGGTTCCGGAATTCCCTATGGGCTTTACCGCTTGAGCCGCTCGAGTCTTGACGCGGACGCGACGTTGACTCTACAGACTGCAGATGACGCGACAGAATGGATGAATGACGCAAACCCGGGTCAAACCGGGTTGATTCCGGGTTTCTGGGTCAACCCGAACCCGACCCGGTTTTACAAACGGGTTGAAATCTCCAACCCGAACCCGACCCGATTCGGGTTCGGGTTGACCCGAACCCGAATTTTCAGTGTCGGGTTCAAATCAAATTTTCGGGTCGTGTCCAATATTGACACCACTGCTAGTTACCCAATTTTGAAATCCTATATGAGGGATTTTGCTGAATAGTCATGGACATGCTTTTTTTACTCGGTAAAATTTGTAGTAATAATTGGTCGGCTTGTCGTCTTGCTGAAGCCGTCAAGCTTGCCGTGGAATTCAGCTTGCAAGCACAAGAGACGACGGCTTCCTTTCCAGTCCTAACCCTACCACAAAATTCCTCTTTTCTTCTGCTACCATTTCTGATATACATCTCGGTTTAACGATCTTTGAAGCCCTACCGACCTGCGGAACTCTCGTAATGGCGACAGCGACGAAGGTGGATGGCCAGGACAAGGTCATCGCGACGGCGCAGCAGATTGTGAGGAGCCTGGCCACCTCTAAGAACGCCGCCGAAGACATGATCCGCATACTCTCTGGTTTCGACAACCGCCTATCTTCTATGAACGATCTCTTACCGACTGCCGGCACCGGCTGTTCTTCTCCGACCACTGGAAGGGTTGATGCCAGGAGAGAAGTCCCCGCTGTTGGAGAATATCACCTCGAAGAAGCTGAGGAGGTTATTCAGCGCTGGGAATCTTCCGATTCCCTCCTTTGGGAGGCATCTGCTGAAGAGGCTGTCGAGTACCTTGACGCTGTCGACGAGCTCATCTCACTCCTTGAGTCCGAGTCTTTCCCCGAGGAGTTCCGTGCCCGGGCTGAGATTGCTGTCCAGATCGCTATGGCGCGGTTGGAAGACGAGTTTCGCCATCTGATGATCCGAAACACTGTCCCGCTCGACGCCGACAGTCTCCACAGCTCGATCCGTCGTGTTTCGCTTTCTTTCAACTCTGTCCCTGGTGATTCAGTCGAGGACTTTGAGGAATCGGTCGATGAGGACCAGAACTACGAGACCAACCTGGAGTCACGCGGCAGTAGCTTTATCTCTGGTGACCGGAGAATCGATCTCGTGCTCCCAGAGGTCGTGTCCGATCTGAAGGAGATTGCCGACCGCATGATCTGGGCTGGATATGGGAAGGAGCTCTGTCAGGTTTACAGCAGCATCAGGCGTGATATACTCGACGAGTGCCTCTCAATCCTTGGCTTGGAACGGATGAGCATTGAGGAGGTTCAGAGAATTGAGTGGAGAGCTCTGGATGAGAAGATGAAGAAGTGGATTCAGGCGATGAAGGTTATGGTCAGGATTCTGCTGACAGAGGAGAAGAGGCTCTCTGAACTGATATTTTCTATATCTGATGACATCAAAGAAGAATGCTTTACAGGAGCCGCCAAACCTTGCATCTTGCAGATTCTGAATTTTGGGGATGCTATATCCATTTGCCAGAGGTCTTCAGAAAAGCTTTTCCGAATTCTTGATATGTATGAGGCTTTGGGGAATGTCATTCCTGAGCTGCATTCCCTGTTCTCTGCAGAGGCTAAAAATCTTATATGTGGTGAGGCTGAGGGAATTCGTAAGAGATTGGGGGATTCCGTCCGAGGTACTTTCATGGAATTTGCTAAGGATGTTCAGAAAGATGTTTCACGTAGGCCTCTACCAGGAGGTGAGATTCATCCACTTACCCGTTATGTTATGAATTATGTCAAACTGTTCGTGGATTACAGCAGCTCCCTTGACGTGCTCTTGGACGATGAAAATGTTCTGGGAGGAGGCAACGGTGATGATACCCAAATTTCGGGAAGTATGACACCAGTAGGCCGTAGTTTGCTGATGTTGATGTCTTATTTAGAGTCTAATCTTGATGAGAAGTCGAAGCATTATGAAGATGGCGGTCTTCAGTGCATATTCTTGATGAATAATATACTCTATATGGTGCAGAAAGTTAGGGACTCTGAACTTCTTGGACTTTTAGGGGATAACTGGGTCCGAAGGCACCGAGCTCAAGTGAAGCAATATGCCAACAGCTACCTCAGAGCTTCTTGGACCAAAATTTTGTCATATTTAAAGGATGATGGATTGGGAGGAAGTGGAAGTACTAGCTTAAGTGGTGCACCTAAAAGGACCATCAAAGAAAAGTTTAAGAGTTTCAACTTAGCCTTCGAAGAAATATACAGAATTCAGACCACTTGGAAAGTTCCTGATTCTGAGCTCCGTGACGACTTGTGCATATCTATATCTGAGAGGGCGATCCCAGCTTATAGAGCATTCTTGGGAAGATTTGGTGTGCAATTGGAGGCTGGACGGCAAGCAGAAAAGTACATAAAATACACAGCTGAAGAACTGGAACAGTTCATCTCTGAGTTTTTTAAAGGGTCGTCTGGGCCATCAAACCTCCTTAGAAAAAAAGCTTAACTCATAGCTAAAGTGATTTATAGTGATGTTGGTGTTTTCCGTTCTCATTGGTCATCATACACATACTTCACAGAGTTCAGGTGCCTAGTGAATGTAAGATTAGTAAGGTTTATCTTTTGGTTTTTTCTTTCTAGTGTTCTCCTATTTTTATATTACTTACAATGTTTTTATAGCCTTTTCCTGAAGGCTTTCTGTTATGATGTTCAATATTGCTGTAGATATCATGTACATATATGTTATCTACTCAAATGTTAAGTCTTATTAGACTCTTCAAATCTTCTCTATGCGGAATGATTAAATGTTTGTTGTTCCCTATGGTTTTACATAATATACTTAGACTTTAGGAGGATTTCATATTTGCTAAAGCTGCTTTGGCTTCAATATTTTCCTCTGTTTCAGCTTGATTTTCTTGTTAAATGGAAACGCTGTGTTTCTTGTCGACTGCATTAGCAATTTTCAATTTCCCCTACACTTGTCCTTAACGTATTTATCCGCAGCTAAGTACAATTTTCTTAGAAGGTTGGGATGTTAAAGCCCTCATTCTGTAACATCATGTGTTGATGGATAAACAATGTAGTTATTATTAGTCTATTATATATGACCTCTATTTTATTTTTATTTCATTGTTTTCTTTTTTATGTGTTTTAAAACCTTTGTATCTCATACTTCCAAATATCCTTTCGTGAATCTACAAAATCTCACATTTTGATTATAACTTTAGTTTTGGAGGTTCATAATGTCTTTAGCTGGTGCCAACTAGCTTTTGTTTGTGCTCCCTTGGGATCTCCCGAATTTTTTCTTCTGGTTTTATGGGTTGGACTAGGTTTGCAAAGAAACATGATGGAATATGATCTTGAAATAAGGACACTAACTATTGAGGTCCAAGGAGCCAAACTTATTTCTGCTTTTTTTTTTTCCAGCCTACGGCTGCTGCTGCTAGATGCCTTTTGAAATTGTAGTCATTTCATACTCTAATTTCCATTGCCTTCAGTGCTAAAGGGAGATTGCCGAGAAATTAAAAAACAATGATCCTACTAGAGTTGACAGATAAAAAATCTGGCTGAGATTGATATATGCCTGATAGGAAACTTTTAGCTGCTGATTTTGAATTCTTTTGTTCAAGTGTGCTGGCTTTCTGTCAAGCCTATTGGTAAGCGTGGGTTTTATTTAGTATTTAGCTGATTAGGTTACACATCATTAAACTTGGGTGATCCTTTGGCCAGTTTGCGAGTGATATTCTGTTCGAACATTCTGTTGTTGATATTTTGACTTGGGAGATTAGTGCACCTCGGCTAGAACACAAATAATGGTTAGAAATGATCTGAAGTTGGTAGAGTTCTTTAGGGTATGGCATTCACATAAATTATTTTTTGCAGATGCACGTCCAAAGGAAAATATGAGTACAACAACAACAACATCAAGACTTTATCCCGCTACGTGGGGTCGGCTACATGAATTCTTTTTGTCCATTGTGTCCGATTAAGAGTCAAATTCTCATTTAGATTTAATAAAGAAAGTTCATTTCTAATATTTTCAAACCAAGTCTCTTTAGGGCTACCTCTACCTTTTTTAACATAGGTTAAATACATCTACTCTCATAACCAGGTCATCAGAAGGTCGCCGTTTTATGCGACTAAACCATCCAAGGCGAGTCTCTCTAATCTTATCTGCCATTGGAGCTACTCCAACATTTTCACGTATATGCTCATTTCATACCCTGTCTCTAAGAGTAAAGCCACTCATCAACCTAAGCATCCTTATCTCTGCAACACTTAACTTATTATCATGCTTCTCTTTTAATGGCCAACATTCTACACCATAAAGCATTGCATGTCTAACCACAATTTTCTCTTAAGTTTGAGGGGTACTTTTCTATCATGCAACAAGCCTGATGCATTCCTCCACTTCAACCATCCAACTTGAATTTTACTAATAATATACCCATCTATTTCACCATCACTTTGTAGAATAGACCCAAGATATCTAAAACATGTACTTTTATTAATGAATTAATCGCTTAAAGCTATAAACCCCCCACTAGATCTATTACTACTAAAATTGCACTCCATGTATTCGATTTTAGATCTACTCAAAAGAAAATTTTTAGACTCTAAGGTTGACCTCTATAATTCAAGTTTATCTTCAACTCCCTCTTTATTCTTATCAACAAGAAGAATATCGTCAGCAAAAAAACATATACAATGGAACATTCTCTTGCAAATCTCTAGTAAGAACATCGAAATAAAAAAGATATGGGCTTAAGGCTGATCCTTGATGTAATCCAATTGAAATTGGAAAATACTTGGTCAAACCACCTTGTGTTTGAACACAAGTAATAGCTCATGTCTGTATTCATTCACTGTTAAATGTAAAAGGTCTTTTCTTTGAGGTGCAAAATAATTTTGAAGGGAAAGCATCATTATGATTGACATTGAGTGCTACAAAATAAAATATAGAAGAGAAAAATAATACATCACAAAGGCTCCAAGATTTGCATGATTCACTTTAATGAAGCCTAATTTTACAAGAAAGGAGAGTGTTCAATTTACGAATAAGGGAATCAAAATTCTAGTGTACAAAACGAGCATTCACTAGGAATCAAAATTTTAGTGTACAAAACGAGCATTCACTAGCTCTTTCTCAATTCCCTAGTATACCCACACACAATGAAGGAGACGAAACCTAAGAGTCTCACACTAAAAGATTATGTTATACTCAAAGCTTTCTTCTTGCAATAACCATTTGAAGCCAGTGATTCTCTAGAAATTATAGATTTGATAGGGTAAGGAACCAAAAGAGCGCCGTATTTTTTCTTAATCAAACTATAAATCAAGCACCTCTTCTTATAGGCTCCTTTATACTACTTAAGAAATCCAAGTTTTGATAAGAAAACTGTCACGACCTGCCCGAGTATTTGGAATACCAAGTCAAGAATAATAGTCAAACAATAAATTAATTCTTTTAATGTTCCCTACACAATCAAATAAAATAACATCTCAAATTGTTAAAAGAGGCATTAATAATCAATCACCAATCTAAAATATGCATAAAACAATTCATACATATTTTCAATTGAACTTCTTTTGAACACGAAGCCTATTTGGCCAATCATTCAATTGGGATTTATTTGAAATATTTAGTTTAATTGGTTGAGTTTTCATATCAAACTGAATAATTAATTACAATTCTATAGTATAGCAAATATATATATATATAAGTAAACTTTTCATTTAATAAGAATATAAACGTGAGTTTTTTTAATCATCGATTTACATGAACTCTCATTAGTATTTCAATTGTCAATTTTTAACTTTTAATAATTTATTTATTCAAGAAGTGCCATTTAAATTTTGTACTAATATAGGTACAACAAGTTCAATTTTTATATCCAATTCCAACATTTTCCAATTTTTGCGGGTATGTTATGTCCTCAACCAATACTATACGACGATAAATTCCTATATTTGTATGCATATATCTTTTTTCATTTTAGTACTTTTCATTGTAGTACTTTTCATTTATTGTCATATTTTTATCATTTTTGTTTTTTATTTTAGTTTGAATATGATGCAATAACATTTAATATATACTATTTAGTAATACAAATCATTTGATATGGAAGGCAAAGTTTTAGATCTTCATGGGATGATGAAGAAGATATTGGACAATCAAAATCAAATGATAGCATCAGAGGCAAGAGGTCCATTAGGGAGAAATACAAATTCTGAAATTAGGAGTGAAAAAGATGTGGAGATATAGAGGGGAGTGGTGGAAGGTATGGAGAGAGGCGTGGTTATGGGGGTCATGAACCAAGGGGTGCTGATTGGAAAAGAATAGAGGGAGATTATAGTAGGAGGGGTGATGATTTGGAAGGAAGGAGGGGAGAAAGTGAATATGTGTATGTGTATGAGCGTGGAAGGGAGGATTAGGATCCTTGGGGAGGACCAAATACTTGGGGAAGGGGAAATTATGGATGAATCAAGGGAAATGAGGGAGATTCGAAGGTCCGGAAGCTGAAGACGCCCATTTTAGAAGGGGATGATGCACATGAGTGGATCTACAAGATAGAGATGTATTTTGTCGTCAATGGGTTAACGGAGGAGAAGAAATTGACAGCAGCTGACTTATGTTTAGAAGGGAAAGAGTTGGCTTGGTACCAATTGAGAGATATGAGGAGGCTCATATGGAGTTGGAGGGAGTTCATGGAATGCTTATTGGAACGTTTTCGAACCGACTTGGGAGGGGGACTTCTTTGAGCAGTTTTTTACACTAGTACTTGAAGGCTTAGTGGAAGATTATCGTGAGAGATTTAAGTATCTGGTGAGTCGATTGGATCGACTATTAGAGACTGTTTTGGAGGAAATTTTCATGAAGGTACTTAAAATCAGAGATCCGAGCAGCTTTAAGGGTCATGAGGCCTCGTGACTTGGGAGAGGTTATGGAGTTGGCACAACTGGTGGAGGATTAAAAGTATGAGGAGAGGAGAGCTAGAGGCAACAATTTAGGAGGCTCTTACAGAATGACTACCACTCTCTTAGCACCTAAGGGGCCGGCATTGGGCAATATTCGGGAGACTCTAAGGGAGAAGACAGGAGGAGGAAGTGGGGGGAACTTTAAAAGACTGAATGAGATAGAGATGCAGGAGAAGAGGGCGAAGTGACTATGCTTCAAATGTGATGAGAAGTATACTCTAGGGCACAGGTGCACGGACTGAGCTCTTTAGGTTTTCATCATCTGTGATGATAAAGAAACTAAGGCGGGAGGTGAGAGTGAGATAGGGAGAGAGGATGACAAGCTATATTTGGACGTGGCAGAGATCTTCTTGAACTTAGTGGTAGGATTCACTTCTAGTCATACCATGAAGGTGAACGGGGAAATAAAAGACAGGGAAGCGGTGATGTTGATTGATAGTGGGGCTACCCGCAATTTCATCTCCAATCACGTTGTCGACCAATTGGAGGTGACATTGGTGGATACAGGGTGTTATGGAGTGATGATAGTTACAAGGAAGGTGGAGATGGGCCATGGGACATGTTGGAGAGTAGTGTTGGCCATATAAGAGGGTTCAGGTGCAGGAGGATTTTCTCTCATTAGAGTTAGGGAGCATTGATGTCATCCTTTGGATGAAATGGCTGCAAACTTTGGGGGACACCAAGATCAACTAGGGAGTATTGACGATGGAGTTGATGTTCGAAGGGAGAAGGGTTGTGATCAGGGAAGATGCAAGGCTCTCCAAAGTCATGGTATCACTTAAAATCATGGTGAGGAGTATACAAGAGGTGGGGGAAGGTTATCTGGTGGAGCTATATAGGC